CACGAGGGTTCAGTGAGTTTCTTTTCTGTCGTTGCCTTTTAAGTTTTCAGTGCCAGTGAAATTGACTGCCACGCAGACACGTTCGTATTCCGGCCTCACGCTGGTGAAGCAGGAGACACGGATCACCTGACCGCGGCCTTTCTTACATCTCACTCGATTTCACATGGAATTCTGCTTCGCAAAGTTCCCGCGTTGCAGTACTTATTCTACCTGAAACAAATTGGGCTAGCTATGAGTCCCTTGAGTAACAATGCGCTGTTCCTGACCTATGAGCGCAATCCGCTTCCTGACTTTTTCAAAGTCGGGTTGAATGTGAGTTTAAGCACCGATGACCCATTGCAATTCCATTTTACGAAGGTGAGCCCCCGACTCTGATACACCGTTGTTGTTCGCTCACTCGGACATCGTGGTAACAGGAACCGCTACTAGAAGAGTACAGTGTCGCAGCCCATGTAATATTTTTACCGATTACCAACATCTACCAGTGGCTTACCTACATGACAGATCTACAAGCTTCCTCAAAGTTCACTAGCAGAGCTCGCTCGCAACTCTGTGATCCAAAGTGGCTTTGAGATGGAGATCAAAAGGCACTGGCTCGGTCAAGAATGGTATTTACCAGGAGCTGCAGGCAATGATATTCATAAGGTAAGCGAGCTATTTCCATATACTCGGCCTATTTATGTATTCACCGACGACAGACAAACGTGCCAAATCTTCGACTAGCATATCGGCACCGCACGCTACTTGAGGAACTTGCGATGATCAGGAAACAGCACTCCGCATAGTCGAAAGCTCGATCTGGCATCGTTCGGTGATAGTGGCATTGGAAGTACCCCATTTTCTTTTAGACAAGTGTAGCTATAGCTTCTCAAAGTTCCAGATATAGATTGTGCTTTCACATGACATAGTTCCGCCATGCCTGATCTGGGGCTAATCATCTGACGAAGAGAACTGTAAGTTCCAAGGCCAAGGAAAGGTTGATACAAGCGCCTCCCAGTGAGCCGTATTTGTCTGTGTGCGTGAGTCGGGTTGTGAAGCAGGAGTGTTATATGGGGTAGAAAGGCGCAAAATTGAATTGCGCCTGCACGAGGACTACACGAGGCTTGGAGCATGATAGTATTGACCGAGTGGAGCAATTTGAAACATCCCGGACTTTGAAGCGTGGGACTCCGCTGTTCTCTCTGTGCCAGCCCGAGCCTAGCGCTCATGTCATTTATTGACTAGTGCTACTTTACGTATTTACCAGAACCTACCATTATATCTGATTTCGAGCCACAGTGGGCAGCTGTGGATCGCAAGCAAATCGATATGATGGTGTCAGAGGCTCCTTCTTCTGATACATATGCCGTTTCAACTAGGACCATGCGATCAGAAATACCCCGAACACCAGATTGGTACACCTGTGCCCCCTCCCCCGGAGGCTACAAAAATCAAACCGTCTCGTTTCGGTCTAGAATTTACTTTCCCCTCCGAGCTGATAACACCCCTACGTAAATTTTGGTAGAGTATTCCTACCACTGTGAGCGACCACATCACCCCCACAGAACGCATATTCCCACTTTTTCGTTCGTGACCGCTCGATATCATGTCAAACCCTGGCGGAAGCCAGGTATCGAGGAAGCCGAAGATACTGGTTGCATGCTTTGACGGTACCGCAGGGCTTTACAATGCGGCGGTGAGGCTCCAAAAATCATACACAATCGCGAATGCAGAGACTAATGGCACACCCTTAGAATACGAATGTCGTCAAGTTCGTCTCATTGTTAAAGAAAGATACGGATAGCCAACTCTGCTATTACCAGGTACGTACACGGATAAACTCCAGCGACTGCACTATGTGATCGCGAGTTGCAGCAAGGGAACTCAAATCCACTCTTATTATCCAGGCTGGTGTTGGGACGTATTTTTCTCCTGGAGTGGTATCCCCCATGTTCACTTGGCTCGCGAAGATATTGGATGAGGCATTTGCATGGTGAGTACGGCAGGCTGAAATAAAGTTTGACGTTGCTTGAGTATATGCAGGTATCTGGACGCCCATGTCATGGAAGGTTACAGATTCTTGATGGATAACTACCTGCCTGGTGATAAGATTTGTCTTTTCGGTGAGACATTCGCCTTGGCAGTACGACAGATTTCACTGAACTCAAGACAGGTTTTTCTCGAGGAGCATATACCGCACGTGCGTTGGCGGGAATGTTGTACAAGGTCAGTTATTGTTGATCATAGATGTGAGCTGCTTTCCTTAATAAGACTTCGTCACAGGTTGGACTGCTTCCAAAATCCGACCTCCAACAAATTAGCTTTGCCTACGATGCATATAAGACGACTGGCGTACAAGCAGATGCGCTTGCTGCAGGATTTAAGCAGACATTTTCGCGTGACGTCAAGGTGGAGTTCGTAGGAGTCTGGTAAGTTGTTCCTAGTATGTCCAGCCACCCACAACCAACTTTTGTTTTTGTTTTCAGGGAGACCGTACAAAGTACTGGAGTGCTCTGGAGTCAGACACTCCCATTCGCAGACTCTAATTCCTTGATCAAGACATTTCGACAAGCTTTGGCTCTCGACGAGGTCTATTAAGCCCATTACCCGCTTAACTTGGTGCTGACTATCTTCAATAGCACCGCGTTAAATTCCTGCCAGAACTTTACCGTCGGCCCCACACAGATACACCTGATCCGGAATTTGTCGAGATGTCAAGGTTATCTGAAGTTGCTACAGCTTTGGAAGACAATGTTTCCGATGAAGTTGGTTCGTTGCAGAATAAACTCCTTCGAGGTATGAAACGTGCGAAGAAGTTCGCGGGGAAGAAGAGGTTTCAAGGACCGAAGCGTGGTTTCACCAAGACAATCTTGCGCCAGCAGAGCACAATCGAGATTGTTATTGAGAAGCCTGGGGAAACCACCGTCGTCAAGGACCAGACAAGTGTGGAAGTGCTCGACATTCCTGACACAGAGCCGACACTGCCACCAGATGTTATGGAAGTCTGGTTCTCGGGATGTCATAGTGGTGAGCGTCCACAAGTTTTGTTTTTGCTAATTCTCTTTGAACACAACATGAGCAGACATAGGTGGCGGAGATGTTGAGAACTCTGTCAAAGTCTCGTTGCCGCAAATCACTCTTCGCTGGATGGTTGAGCAGGTCATCCTGTCTAACTGTGGGATCGTTTTTGATGAGGAAGCTCTTGAGCGCGTTGGCATGCCATTATCAAGCTTTCCTACTTCGCAAACGCCTCCTGCTACTGAGGATCCGACCGACAAGTCACAACTGATGATGGACAACCCCTGTCTCAGTGCTGTGTCTATCGATGTTGTGTCCTCTTTCGTAGAAGCCGCACCATCACCCGCCCCTTCTAGCTCTCCCACCGGTCCCCCCACCACACCCTCATCTCCAAATCCTGAAACTTGCGATGCTCTAGCTCCTGTGTTCGACCAGCTGCAGATTCAGAAGGCTTGGTGGCTTCTTGAAATCTTACCCCTTCCATGTGCATGGCAAGATGCGCATGGCAAATGGCACAAGAAATGGAGGTGAGCTGCCTGTCGCTGCGAGGAACTTATTTAATTCTAGGTGACAGGTGCCATCTGGGTAAAGGTCGCGTTATTCCCTACCGGCATCCCACATTTCATTCATCCGTTGAGGAGCGTATGGACTACACACCCTTGAAATACAAGCCACGAGCGATATACCTCCACGATCAAGTGGCCTATGTAGGATGACGACAACGACCGGACCCGCATACCACCGGTATTGATGCTCATCTACGATAGAAACCTTTCAAACCCGTAACACGAATACCCCGAGGGATATTATTAGCGTTACGCTGTTTGAGTGAGTTTACACCCTGTAATATTCCGAGACTTCCATTGGACTTGTCTATAACTCGCTTTATGATTGTAATGATAATGTGACCACACGTTTAAGTCGGTACCAGTTTTGTGTTTCGACCGTGCATTCTGTGAGTCTCGGGAAATGCTGCAATTGCCTCTACTTGTGCCGGTCTTCGATCGTGGAATTATCGCACGTTTGAACCAATTGGACACCCTGTTCAAGTTGTCCGGCCCTGACGCATGCGGCCTTCAGGGTCATATGAACCGGACGCCACTACAAATTTGAGAGTTTCAATCCAGAAGCCCTCAGGAGTCCTCCCTGGCAGTGCAAGTATGAAGAGTGTATCGTAATATTTGACATGCGGAGAGAGCCTCATGGTACATGCCGTACACTGCCTTCCAATTGAATCGACGTGCTGCACTCCACAATACAGTGAAACTGCTGCAATGTAAACTTTATTTCAAGAAGGCCCATCATATATAGCGGTGCCACAACCGGGTCCCACCCGAAACTAGAAGTCATCTTTTGTGTGTTAAATCATCGCACCCCATCTCAGCGGACATGATTGGGCTGTCAAAAGAGCTTCCATTCTTCTCAGGGGGTGGTTCTGGCGCAAATGCTGTTTTGAGGTTTATTATAAGCAGCAGCTACTTATATCAGATGCTGACAGGCAAACCATAAGCGCTGGCACCGGCGAACAACAAACCCGTGATTTAACTATAGGTGGTTTTTGACGGTAAGGGTTAGTCACCAACCTGTAGAACCAGCTTACGACGCCGAATGACCTAGATGAATCTCTTCACGATCAGTCTCCTAGCATTAACAGCCGTCAGTTCTCTGAGCGCACGAGCCACTCCCGGCTCACTGACGAGCGACACTGTCTGGTGCAATGGTACTTGGTCAGGATGCGGCAAGCAATGTTCAGGGGACTTCGAAACCCGCCGATCATGCACCAAAAATGGGAACCAGACAGTGGAATATTGGTGCTGTTATGACTGACAGTCATCACTGGAAGCACGGGTATTACATAGCAGTGTGGGAAAAGCATCGCACAGCGCAGATGAGGGGTCTTCGCAGTCTGGAAATGTGAGCGATGAAACATCGCCGCAGAGCACGTACTTGGCGCAAAATAGATGATGCATGCTTCCAATCATCGAGTTGTCTGAAGGAATATTATTCCATGGTTTTCTATAATACAGACCGCGCGCGAGGATGAAATGTGCAATCAGAGCAATGGCAGCAGGGATGAATTAATATGACGTGGGAGGGCGGATAAGGGGGTATATGAGATATACAAGGAGAACCACACAATGGACTCAAAATGTGTTCGCCCAAACCTCAAGATCGAACCTTGATGCTCTGGCACTGTCTATCCAAGAATGTTTCTGGGGTGACACAGTCAGAAGGACGCGACGGATGCAACAAATAAGAAGCGAGTACCAAAAGATCCTTTGGTGTGGTCCGCGCATCAGGGTCCTTGAGCAGACAGCTGTCGACGAAATCTTCTGCTTCCTGAGGGAAACGCCCCTCTGGTGTCAGTCGTGGGGCAGGTTCATTAACGATATGCTGGAGCAGTTCCAATATGCTCATCATCATTCCACCTCCCTGTAGACTGACACCCCTGCTCTTCCGCTTGTCCTTTTTTGACGTCTTGTCTTTCTCTTTCTTCGGTGGAAGTCCGATGGAACCAGGCGACAAAGTACCTTCAAAGTCAGAAAGGTCGGAGTCATCCGGATCTGAATCGGCAAAGGGGAACCGCCCTAGGGCAAGTTCTATGAGAGAAATACCCAAAGACCACACATCGGACTTGACGGTATACTGTGCACCTTGTATCCGCTCGGGCTGTTTGGAATAGCCTTATAAATTTGGTAAAGAAGACGCATGAAATACAGACGCACACTCATATAGGTTGAGGTTCCTACGAAGGTATCGGCGATGGAATTTATGAGTTCACCGGAAACACCAAAGTCGCATATCTTGATTTGACCTTGCGAGTTGCACAAGATATTCGACGGTTTGATATCTGACGTGACTGTCAGCTTCGATGAAAAAACCAAGGCTGTGTTTAAGCTCACCACGATGAATAATTCGGTGTACGTCATATAGATAGGTCAAGCCTTCGAGCACGGCCAGCGCAACTTTGGAGACGACATCGATGTCGATAGCACCGATCTTCTTGTAAATTCCATCAAGAGAACCCTTGTCCATGAACTCCATGCAAATGCAGATATTTGGATCAGAAAGAAATGCGCCATAGAATGAGATGATGTATGGCGAATGGCAATCATGCATAATGTGAAGTTCGCGGAGAATCTGCTTCCGCACGGAAGGCTTCGCATCAATGAGAACAATCTATAAGTAACAGTTAAAAAGACATATAGATCTGATACATTAATATACTTGCCTTCTTGGCCATGATGGTGTTAGTGGGTGTATGTTCTACCTTTTTGACGCTCCCGCCGTTGCCTTGGCCAAGCTCCTGAAGGTCTTTCAGATCCTCATTACGAAGATCGTAACGCGTCTCGGCATTCATATCAAGGTTTGCTAGCGTGTTGGAAAGGTGAGTGTGGTATGTATTTCTCCGCGTATTTGCAGAAGCGGAGGGAATGGTGCAAGTAGGCGCGCCTGCTGCGTTCGCAAGATTTCCATCTGGATCCTGAACGGCGTTAGATACTCCCAATTTCGGGGCGTTGAGTGTCATAGGCGGAGGTCGTTTCTTGCCCTTCGCCGCTGTAGTTGCGGGAGCAACCCTTGTGGGGACTGGCTCTGGTTCCTTTGGTTTCGCGGGCACATCAAGCTGCAAAGCCTTGAAGTTGCGCTTCTTGCGTATTGGTGTAGCCATGTATCAACTCTTGATCGCCAAGGCCAACTTGCAAGGCTGGGCTCAGGCAGTTACTTCAATGTTCAGAACGTTCAAAACTCCGAGTCGACCACATTAGAATTAGAAGCTCAAGTAGATTACATAAGCTACATATCAATCAATTCACAATATTGTCAGTGGTCATCATGCCAAGCCGACTTACAATGCAAACTATTCAAACCTCAGGCCTCAGCGCTCAGCTTCGTCGTTTGATGCGTCTTGGCTGGAAACCATTGATCAATTACAGTACCTTGGTTGAAAGGGCCTTTTCAACGTTATGGTCACACGGTTGGCAGTTTGCGTAGGAGACACGCCAGAGTCTCATCATGATTTACTTTATATCGTGAGTTTCCTCGAATGGCGTGTACTGATATCAATACATCACATCTTAACCAAGCATGGAACTGCATGCTTGCAGTCCAGCGCATCTATGGAACAAGCATCTTTTGCTACCAGCTTCTCCCTTGACTGATGAGGCAGACGCGCAAGTCGGCACCGAGTCATCGCTTATCTCCAGGATAAGGAGCACTATTTTTGCAGGTATGTAGCCTACTTAGATGCTGATGATAAAACTTCTACGCTCACAGCCTACAGTTGTATTCTTTATAGAGACCATCATCTGGATACCGCGTAGCATATGTCACAACGTTGCCGAGCACCCATCACAACGACCTAACGTATGCGATACCACCTTACGTGTCTATGTAGGCGCGACTCTTTCTTTTCTAGCATCATCATTCACTGTTCAGGTATATTTTTACGCCCAGTCATGACGACGTGCGATGTAAATCTAATTTTGGGCTGCGTCGTCGACGTCGTTATTGTGCCGTTTGAACTCTGCACGACCCTTGGGCCTTTGTCTGGATCGGTTGGTTGCTATGTATCCAAGCGCCTTTGGTGCACGCTCTATAAGGTTTCATGTCGAAGGTGCCTGCTTTGTCTGATCGATCGTCATGCAACTAATTTGGTGGACTTTGACTCATCAGTTAGATTTGATTCATGGGAGTTAATGCAAATGGGTCGCTCCAATTCTGACAGTTTCCCGCCCATATGTACACCGTCGCACTAACGCAGGCTAATGCCTACCGACACTGCAGATAGCATCCTCTTGCAAGAGTTCCCATAATGTATATAAATACTGTCCGAGAAACTGGAACTGTTTTGGCATGCGCAGTCAAGCGGACGACAGTTTTGACTACTTACACGGTTGTACACGGATACGGTAAAGATCCGTGTACTCCAAGTACACATAATTCTGGGATCATCATCGGCATCTGTGGACATGATCTCACGTTGGTGATTCAGACCAAAATGATTGATCCATCAGGTGGCGGCAACCAAGCCACTCGTTGTGGGCAACAGCGAGCTCGATCGATCATGCAAAGTGCAGAATTGGAGACAAGTTTTATATAAATGTGACATGATATTCACGTGAAGATGGGGGTATGTTAAGCGGGTAAACAGCCACCAAAGTAGAAATACCAACTATAAAAGAAAATGATACCCTCTAGTCGGGAAAGAGCTCGGGAGGTCTACTATCTTCACCGTGACGGTTGAGTTAGGTTCATGATGCATGATTGCATCTTTGCTTCATGTTAATTACAAACATTGTATGAACTGTAACTGCGAAGCAATGCTTCTTTCCGGTACGGTGGTACTTGACGGGTGTGGTAAAAGATAGAAACAGGCGCATTACATTCGCCTATCAATAACTCCAAATCCCTACCTCCCCCGTATAACTTCATAACATGAAAAACGTTGCAAAGCCAAACACAATCGCAATAGCTAGCCATATGACCAACGATGAAGACTTTTCAAATCTGTGTTGCATTGCCAGCCTCGCAACAACCAACTGGGAGGGAGGGCCTTTAGCACCGGCGTCATCGATGGCAGCAATTTCTTCAGCAGTGAGTGGGGCTTCATGATCTGAATTAGATTAACGTCACATTTCATGGTTCAAGACATACGAAGATCTTCAACAGCAAGGTACTCTTGGAGGCGTTCCTTGCTCCGGGTCGTGCTTCGGTGATGGAAGTGACATGAGACACGAAAATTACATAGAAGGTAGATGGACATACGTGACGAGTGCTACACCTTTACTTCTGACCCAGGAGAAAATCACCTGATTCGGAGTTGCGCCTATGCGCTTAGCAGCGGCGTTAACAACCGCATCCACTGGTCCTCCAGGATTCTGCGTAATAGAACTGGCCATGCAGATTTGGAGCGGTGAATTATTCGGAGTAGTCTGAGGACTTACTTCAAACTTCCATATGCTTGCACTATGATATTCTGTTTTGAACAGTATTCAAGCAAAGCTTTGTGTGACGCATAGTTATATGGGTGGAATTTGATCTGCTCGATAAAGTTCATTGGCTGTACTGGGAGTAAGTAGACGGATTTACTTGGTTAACGGCAGGTTTAGTGACCGCAGTCTTGAGAAGTCTCTGGAGATCCTCTAAGGTAAAGTTGCTGACGCCAATGCTCCTGATAACTATGAAAACCAGGGAGACACGTTCGAGTCGGAACGGGCACACCTTGTTGATCCATCTTTCTTCATCTTCTCAAACTCTTGCCACTCAGACTCAGAAAAGAGCGCCGGGAAGTGCATCAGATACAAATCAACATGAGAAATATTAATCTCGACGAGCATGTCATTGGGTTTTCCGGTTTGTTGAGGTGAGTAATATGTAATTGCTGACCTTGTTCAGACTTTGTTGAATAGCTTGCTGTGATTTCCCAGGACCACTGTATTTGGTGGTGATATACAGGCTCGAGCGAGAAAGACCGCTCTCCTTGATAGCCAGGCCCACGTAGGTTTCTGTCTGGTACACTTTATACGAGAACAAATTTTGAGACATGAGGTTCTTTTCATCGTTGCGATTGGAACTTAGAAGTAACATACTCTGTGCGGTGTCGATATGAGAAAATCCATTCTCGATAGCCTGGCCCACGTAGTCTGTGACATCCCTGTATTTCATGGTGGACCCTGTGCCGAAGGCTATTGTGGGGAACTGAGACGTAGCACAGAACATATCAGGTCTTGGCATGGTAATGAAAACTTTCATGAAATACTACGATACCTCATTTCCATCGTTAAGGGTAACAGTACCAAATGGCATAGCTGGGAGTAGATAGTGAGGGAAGTGTGATGGTCATGAGAGCATGATAAATGTTTGAAGACATCCCAGCATCCGATTCCGACTCCGAGTCTTATTACAGCTGTTTTCAAATTTGTCTTAAAATGCTCTGAGCACGGGGAAATTAGGACCTTTTGTTAGACTCTATCTTCCGGACCGCATGACAATGGAGGGCCCCGTTACGCCATTCGTCCCGTTACATGAATTCTCTCCAGAGCCAGACATAGTGACAGAAGACCAACATACGCATTCACCAGTGCGAAAGCGAGCGCGCCATACTGGCAGCATCAGGAACACAGCATCCGAGTCTGGACAATCTCCTGTCATGGTTTTGGAGGAATCGAAGGCTCCCGTGAGGGACGATGCATACTACATGGCTGATGGGAGCTGCATTCTTCGTGTGCAGAACACGTTATTCAAAGTATGATCTGAAGTGAGGTTCATGCCCACGAACTGAATTAGTTGTGGTGTATTAGGTCCATCGCACAATCTTGTCCAAGGATCAGTCATCCTTCGGGCCTATGTTTACACTCCCACAAGGTGAATTTGGGGAAGAAGGGATGTCAGATGATCATCCCATCGTTCTGCAGGGAGATACCACGGAGGAATTCAGACATTTCCTCTGGGCACTCTATGCCCTGTGAGTGTCATTTAAGTGTCTGCAAGATCTTTCTCATACTCGAGTCTTGGCTCATAACAGACCCTCAGAACTAATGATAGTCCAGTCTCCAAAAGTCGATCTTAGCCGACTAATAGACATCGCGAAGGTGTCCAGCAAGTACTCTTTCAAGTCGACAGAAACATGGGCATTGGACGCAATCCAAGAGTACCTTGAACGGAACACATCCCCCTTCTTCAACGACAACCCTCTAATTCGCATGTTCCCTACCTTAAACACTCGCTCTTCGGCTCTTTTGGAAAGTGAAGGTCAAATTGCTCGCTTGATCAGACTTGCTCAGATGTGTTCGCACTCACGTCTGATGGACACGATGATTCAACTTCTTCAAAAGCTAATGTCTGGTTCTTTGCATTATTCATATCTGGCCATGACCCTCGCGGATGAGTTTAACCTTAGGGACCTGCGAGGCGCGGCGTATCTCGAAGTCATGCAAACGTCGGTCTTTGTTTGCCCCGGAGTGGCTAATGATCACACATACGTGGAGGGTGACATTCAGGAAACGAGTGAGGGGCCGCAGCGGCTGGTGGTCAGCCCGGTGCAGCAACTGAGACTTCTGTCGGGATATCACCGCCTTTCTAAGGCATGGGACAGATTGCGCGCTGTCCCTCCGCAGTTCGAACACTCGCCGTCCTGTGGTGCGACGTGGCACCAACATGGATGCACTCAGAGCTGGACAGATTTCTGGAAGGAGAAGACGAGGTCAGAAGGCGTGCTATCTCTCGGCTGCGCAAATGTCCTCGGGAGATTGGGCATCATTATCAAGGAGTTTGACAAGTGGGGATCTGCAACATATATGCACCACGATTGCAAGTCTGCGGCAAGACGGTCTATCCACGAGAAGGTGAAGCAAATGCAGCAAGCGTTGCCGGATTATTTTACAGAAGGTGGTGAATATTAATGTCCATCCGACTCGATAGAATACATTCCATACGTACTACTGCTAGATGTTGTACTTGTACGAATTTCTGAGTAAGCAGGTTCCTCAATAGAGTAGAAACAGCCACAACATAAGTCAGGTTTGCCCTAGTCGCCCTTTCCCGACAGCGGTCCTCATACTGCTGGAAGTGGAAGTCGCATGAGTAGTGTTGCGCCTATTCCAAGGACCATCTTGTATGTGGCTTGCTTCGTTTCCTATCGAGGTGCCCATCATGTTCTGTATCAAGTTCTCCACGCTGTCAGCTGAAGGTAGTTGTTCCTTTCCGATTTGAGAACCGTTTATGACTGCTTGCTGAAATATTTCATCCTCCTCTAGCTGCTGAACACGCTGTCGGAAGCCACGTAATATTTCCTCAAACAGCACTAGCTGGAACGATCAGCGGACTAGCGAAACAAGGATGAAGTTCAACACACGCTTCTGTTCTTGCGGATCGCTAGGACAAATTATCAAGGGATCTTTCAAGTTATGGACTTCATCATGTTTCGGTTCATCAAGTCGAAGGTTGGCGATCCACTTTCGCTCGAAAACATCCTGATTCAATCCCGAGTCAGATAGCGACGTGTCATCGGGCCCGTATGCGGTTCCCACAGAACTTGCAGGAGAAGGAGGACGAATTACAGGAGAAGCATATGCAGGGTCGCCAGCATGAATCTGTTGAGTGTGTGGCATCAGAAACCCTGGACTATGAGTCAGAACAAAGTCGGACCCTAATAACTCGGATGCTTGCGCAAGCAAGCCAAAATAACACGGTACGCGATTTCGTTGATTAGCGTGTCTAACTAGTGTGACATTTTAAGTAAACGTGCCAGAAACTCTTTATCTTCAGTCTCGTTTCACATTTTGATCTATGCACGCACGTCCATGCCAGCCTGAACGTTATGAATGGCACAGTAGGACAAGAGCTCACATTTACATTGAATTTACATTCGTTCAATTCTTGTTTGCTGGACGCTATGCGTGACGGATCCTATCCTATCTGGGTTGTTTGGCTGAGTAATGCACACGCCACTTAAATTCTTCGCGACGCGTCTTTCCTCTCCTTCATCTCGCCCACTACCAGACTCAGTTTTTTTCTGTTTTCCTCCTGCTTCATTTCAATCTTTGAGGACCAACTTACCATGGCTTTCGTGTTCAAAAGAGGTCAGTTGCTCCTGAGTTTGGTGTACGGCAGCTGATCTGTGTGTTCCTCTGCACAGATGGGTAAGCAAACGCACGCCGAGAACATTCGTTTCAACACCATCTGACGCGTTATTCACGTGTAGTCGCAAAGAGGACGTTAAATTTGACAAGGTATAGTCCCACTAAGCTGTATAGTGCGTCGCTCACTGCCTGGGTAGATCACAGCAAGGATAAACAAGCTTTGTTATGGCCTTGACCTTAACTATGTCGAGCCGATCGAGTTAGTCGACATCTTTATCAATCTCATGTAACTAATTGCTCTGCAGGGTTGCCAAAAAAGTTATCACAGGTGTATACCAAGGCGTCACAACCGTTGAACTCGATGTGGGTGTCTATGATGTTTTGCCTTGTTCACTTATTGACCTGAGATAGAACCTTGCCGCCGAGACGGCAGCCTGTCTTACTACGAAGCATCCTGACTACGCCGTTCTCGCTGCACGTATCGCAATATCAAATCTCCATAAGGAAACCAAGAAGAACTTCTCCACTGTGGTGAAGGACCTCTACGAATACAGTATGTTTCCACATCTTTGGTGTTCGATTTGTATTTGACTTTTCATCGTCAAGTTAATCCTAAGAATGGAAAACCTGCTAGTTTGATCGCCGATGATGTATATGAGGTTGTGCAAAAGAATGCTGCTCGTCTTGATTCTGCAATCATCTATGACCGTGACTTCAGTTACAACTAGTGAGCACGATCATCAAGATGCACGATCATATTGTACTGATCCTTTTCAGCTTCGGCTTCAAGACTCTGGAGCGGTCGTACCTTCTGAGGATCAATGGCCGTGTTGCCGAACGTCCGCAACATATGATCATGCGTGTTGCTGTGGGCATTCACAAAAACGATATTGAAAGCGTGATTGAGACGTACAACCTTATGTCTGAACGATTCTTCACGCATGCGTCACCAACTCTGTTCAATGCTGGCACTCCTCATCCCCAACTCAGCTCATGCTTCTTGGTGTGTATGAAAGATGACTCCATAGAGGGTATCTACGATACCCTCAAGACTTGTGCCATGATCAGCAAGACTGCAGGTGGAATCGGCTTGAGCATTCATTGTATTCGTGCTACTGGGTGCGTTAAATTAATTCATGGTATTGTTCAATTAGTAACATGTTGCCTTATAGCTCGTACATTGCTGGAACAAACGGCTACTCGAATGGAATTGTTCCTATGCTTCGCGCATATGATGCCACGGCACGCTATGTCGATCAAGGTGGCAACAAGCGGCCGGGAGCTTTCGCGATTTACCTTGAACCATGGCACCCTGACATTTTCGATTTCCTCGACCTGAGGAAGAACCATGGTAAAGAGGAGTCGCGCGCTCGTGACTTGTTCTACGCACTGTGGATTTGTGACCTGTTGTATGTGTTCGACCGTAATCTCGTAGCCATCCTAATTTTTCCTTATCAGCATGAAACGCGTCGAATCCAATGAAAATTGGTCGCTGTTCTGCCCAAACGAAGCGCCTGGTCTTCACGAGGTTCATGGCGAGGAATTTGAGGCTCTATATGAGAAGTACGAGATAGAGGGACGCGCACATAAGGTCATTCCAGCTCAAAAGCTGTGGTATGCTATCCTTGAAGCTCAGATTGAGACTGGTGGTCCTTTTATGGTCTACAAAGATTCCGCCAACCGTACGTCGAATGACTTTGTGGCACTTTCCTTGCTCACAATCATCCGTAGGCAAATCGAACCAAAAGAACTTGGGCACCATCAAGTCGTCCAACTTGTGTACTGAAATCATAGAGTACTCGTCACCGGAGGAAACCGCCGTCTGTAACCTTGCCTCTCTCGCTCTCCCTACTTTCATCTCGAATGGCAAGTACGATTTCCAAAAACTTCATGATGTCGCGAAGGTCGTCACCCGCAACCTTAACCGTATCATCGATGTAAATTACTACCCCGTTCCGGAGGCTCGCACTTCCAACATGCGCCATCGTCCCATTGGTCTTGGTGTCCAGGGTCTCGCAGATGCTTTCATGATTCTCCGTCTACCATTCGACTCACCGGAGGCAAGGCAACTCAATCTTCAGATCTTTGAGACCATCTATCACGCTGGACTCGAGGCCAGCTGTGAGGAAGCTGAAAGGGATGGACCATACGAGACTTTCAGGGGTAGTCCCGCCGATCTCGGTCAACTGCAGTATGATCTTTGGGGTGTCACCCCCACTGACCTTTGGGATTGGACCAGTCTCAAGGAAAAGATCGCACAAACTGGATTGCGGAATTCATTGTTGGTTGCACCCATGCCAACTGCATCAACTAGTCAAATTCTTGGTTTCAATGAATGTTTCGAGCCCTATACCAGGTACGTTTGACTTCCTTGTCACGTTGTGCAAGCTGACGCGTTCGATCAGTAATATCTACACTCGTCGTGTCCTTGCTGGTGAATTCCAGGTTGTATGTCCATGGTTGCTCAGGGACCTTGTCGACCGTGGGCTCTGGAATGACGACATGAAGAACATGATCATTGCTCATAATGGCTCCGTCGCCAACATCCCCAGCATACCAAATGATATTAAAGCCATTTACAAAACCGTTTGGGAGATCTCACAGAAGAAAGTCATCGACCTCGCTGCTGACCGTGGAGCGTTCATTTGTCAGAGTCAAAGTTTGAACATCCACTTGCAGTCGCCTACTGTAGGCCAACTGACTAGTATGCACTTCTATGGCTGGAAGAAGGGCCTCAAGACTGGCATGTACTATTTGCGTACTCGTCCGGCGGCGCAAGCCGTTCAGTTCACTATCGACCAGAGCGTGCTCAAAGCAGCCAAGGTGCAACAGGGCGAATCCGGCAAGCCTGCCACTGGAATTCCTACCCCTTCCGCCTCCCCATCCCCTCTTCGCCGAGTCCCTCCACCATCTAATTCGAATGACAACGGTGTTGCGCCGAGTTCGTCGGGCCCCAGTGAAGCTACCGATGTTGACCCCGAGTACGCCGCTGCCCTTGAGCGTCAAAGGGAGCGTGAGCTCGAAGAGGCAAAAATGCTGTGCTCGCTGGAGAACAAAGAAGCCTGCCTCATGTGCTCTGGTTAACGGAGGTGGTATGTTGTTGGCGTGGTCGGTATTTATTTGCATCGTCGGAAGTTATTCAATCATGCATTCCTTGTCCTTTGTCACCCACATTTGTTCTCATTTCTCGGCACGATTGTATACCAGCTGTTGTAATTGTAATGAAATAGATGGATTTCGGTCTGTCCCCGATCTGACAATAAGGATATACACTCTAGTGACAGAAACTATAAACATACAAGGAAAACGTATAATGTAAATAACAGAGTAGCGTCCTATGCAAATGGTATATAACACAACACCAACCTCCAAAACGGCAACAATACACCCACTGACTATGAGGCCACAATTATAGTCGATTGACAGTCAGAATCGCAATGCGTCCATCTTGTGCAATGGCATGATTGATTCCTGAATGGCAAGTCAAGAATGACCACGCAGTGGGAAAGAAGCTGCTGACCTCTGTATCCTGGTTCGAGGAGGCCTCTCCGCCACTCCACATCAGCCTGCCACCACCTGCCATTCCAATGGCTGACAGATGCAGCGGCTTCGACGAGGAAATCGCGACCGATGTTATACCCGTCCGGGATTATCATATGGTTTTTAGTGGAGTCCTGCCAGAAATAAATATGGTTCCTAAGTTCTACTCGCGTTCTACTCACCATTTCCTTGGAGACACTGGGAATGGAGTATCAGTAGTCGCAAATAGAAATGAGGAGTTTGGCGCTTACGCCAAAAACCATGCTCCCGTATCAATGTCTGAGCCATTCTGCTTCCAAGCGCGGAAGTGGTTTCCTCCTAAACACCGAATCACGAAAGATTTTACGAAACGTGGAGGAAGACGAACCTGCTATACTTTCCCAACATGTTCCCCACTTAGGGAAGTAGTATTGCCTTGCTAGAATATGCTCAGATTTCTTGCTATCGCCGTCACCGAGGTCTGCCTTGTGGACATGACCATAATGAAGTCCTAAACACTCCTCGGAAAACCCAATGGACCTTGCAAGGCACATCAATGGGGCTCGAGCATGAAGTTACGGGTGGCCCACTTGTAATACAGACGGAAGCCAGCATCCGTCAAAATAAAGGGATCTGACCGGTTAGATATGATGACATTTAACGGTTCCCCGTATCTGGGAGTCGTGAACTGCAAGCAAACTTGAACGTGACTGGGATCGTATACGTTCACGATGTACTTACGTCTAGAAACTGTCCACCATTAAGACGTGGATCGGTCCAACCAATCTCAGCTTTAGGAAGTTCTAATGTAGTCCCAAATATGTATTGCAGGGTATCCATGAAACGGGTGGGGAGTGCCAGCGCAGAGGTGGCCAAAGCCAGAAGAATGACGCCGGACTTGACCATAACGAGAAATATTTAGTCTTGAGAAAGACTTGTTCAAGGTGGTCCTGGTAAGCGCAGCAGAGATTCATACTCGTGTATCGATGCGAGCTAATGCGGTGAGCATGGCAACCACGTGAGTGCTATGGCTGTGATTGGCGCTTCTAAGTTTCCTTCGCCAATCACGTCGTCAATATTCCACATCATGTCCAGCACTGAGAGGACTGATTTTGAAGAACACATCACCGATGGTTCTATCGTAAATGATCACAGTGAATTCGATGACGACGATGCCGATGCCGATACTGCTTCTCAGCGCTCAATATCTCTTTCCTCTCCTCCACATTCGCCAGGACACGACCGCAATGCTGCTCTACTCGCTCAGGATTTTTTTGCTAGACGTGGATCACAGGATGACTCTTTAGACATTGATTTCAACTCAGAAATGGACGATGTAAGCGACTCTTTCAGCGAGAGGAACGCTCGGCGTGCCAGTTCGAATACATCTGCGGCTCCTTCAAGTTCTGTAGCTCTGTTTGACGAACCGAAATTCAACACCCCACATGCTATGACTTATCCGCCAACACTTTCATCAGGTGCAACGGACACAGATTCATTCACTTCTGCAGCTTCTTCGTATTCGAAGAAAGCACGGCCGGAGTCTATGTTGCTACAACCTCCGGAAGGCCCATTAGTCCTAGGCATTGCACTCATAGACTTCAATCATCTGGTATGATGATTAAACTTACCTGCATTACCTTCGAAGCTCATGTAACTTAGGTTGGTCCGAAGATCGAGTTCTGCCATGGCGACATTTTCGAAGATGAAGAGATCTTCAAGATACTTCCCTTCCTGGCCCTTCCAGACGGTGCACATATGGTAAGCACAACGAAGCGTGTGCACAAAATTGCTCTCATAAATACCCTCATGCAGTCTCTAGAAGATTATTCTTACTTTCATCTTGTTCCAAATGCTCCAATACCTACCACCATCTTTGGCATCTCGTGCGGATTATTCTAAATCGTTATATGCGTGTCGGGCCCTAACTTTTGGTCTACAGATGCAATCGCCAAATACCAGCCTCTGTATTACTTGTTAAAGATGTGGATGTAACTCGGTCAATTGTTCAAAAGGCTGTCGTGGTCCTGGCATCGAAGCCAGTCTTTGGCCCCATTCGGTTGGTCTGCAATGCCACGCACATACCCTTTGACTATATGACTCGTTAGGGATCGCTTGGGTGTGGTTACACGTGCACTGTTCGAGCAACGGTGAGCTTGAAAGTCGCCTCGATGAACCAAGTCTAACGTTGCAATCATAAGCGACTTCTCGGATACCAGTATTCTGGTAGATTTCGGCGCGTCGCTGGAAATCTCCCTTCGTACACAGCTAACCGAAAGCGGATTATATATTGGTGTGTCGGGAGAGCTCGTCAAGACGATTTAAGCACATCTGATCTCTTTGTATTTATGCAGGCACAAGCATGTGAGTTGCGTAGTACTAACCATCCTGAGAAGCTGACATGGGTAGCCGGGAGTTTGTCCACACCTTCCGCCACCGCACGCTTATTCTATTGAAAGCCCTCATGTGTCAGAAGAAGGTTTGTTATAAACATTGAAAACGCGGTCCATATTGAATAAATTCTAGATTATGTTCTTCGGTCACCCAGTGGAACGATTGTGCACTTACCAGTACTCGCTCATATCATTGATCCCTGGTAATGATTTATATATTTTTCTTTCTTGATCCCCGAATTCATATTCAGGCTTATTACAAACGCTGGAGGATTCCGGATCCCCGCCTCTCGCAGCACGCGCACCCACACTTTCATGCCCACAATCGTTACAAACTTCAGACCGCAAAAGTATGATGGCATACATGGGTCTACCGCTAGATATTTTCGGCAAGGTATGCTCTGCGCTGCACAATAATGTGCAAAGCTGACCATGTGGTTCAGGATGCGTTCTTCCAACCGTACTTGCCCTTGCAACAGTTGGACCTTTTAAAGGATTCACAAGGCTGGCTATGCGGGAGTACGAACACCATCGTGACTCAGCAGAAGGAGGTTGAGTTGTTCATCAATGTTGGTCTTCAGATGCCATCGAAGCGACTCGATGCTCACCTTTGCTTTCCAGACGGAAACAGCCACACTAGAGTTTCGAAATCCTAGGTTGGAGCGGCTAATGGGCTTGACAGCTGCCGACCGAAAATGGATGGATGAGATCGTTCGAGATGTCAATGATGCTTGGGACGATGCAGATCCAATGAAGCCTACCATGCAGTGTGTCACTTTGTGGAATTGCCCGGTTCCGGTTCTCATATGTTTGACAGCTTCAAAGGCAGTGATGATTACTTGCGAGCTAAGGTTGCGTTAGCTTATGTGTCAGATGCGATTTGACTTATATTCTGCAGTTCGAAGAGTACGTTTCCGCTGCACTCGCATCTGTTCGATATAGAGAGTTCCTTGCAAAAGGGAAAGTGAACAATGTGATCATTACTGGAACAGGTAAGTGTCGAGCGTGTACAACAACAATCAACACTCACAACGTTCGTGCAGGAGGGGATGATAACTCGATCGACGACTTCAATCCACTTTGGATCGCCGAGTTCACCAAGACGAATGCATATGATGTGTGGCAAAGGTCTACAGACCCTATGCTCTTCGACATTGTCGAACCACGGTTGGACAACTTGTTCCAACGATTCTCTCAAACACTTAGTTTTACCCCGACAGTCACCCGTGCAACGAGAAGCCCTCTGTCGTTGGAGACATTGGAATACGATTATCCGAAGGACTCCAAGAACTGAAACTAGAGCAACAACTAGCTCCGACACGAGATGCCATTTCACGTACCATCACCGCTAGCTCAACGAATTTCTTCAAAGCAGTCGAAGGCGTCCGTGGGCGGTGGCAGCAACAGCGCACCACCAGCTCTGCTTCATTCAGCTCCGATGTTGCGAGCAGCATGTACGAGACCCCAGTGGAGGTTTCAAAACTGGAAGCGGAACTGCCTTCGTCTCCCGTTTCTGAGGGGAGCAAGCCTACTTGTGATATCAGCAGACAGACGTCGAGAGATTCCGTGCTAGGTACGCTTACGCGGCCCGTAAGTGTTGCCCAAGCCGCCTCAGAAGCAAAGGCAGCGTTGGGAAACTGGGGTGCAGGTCTACAGTCTTTCTGGTCCGGCCGCGCTTCACGGTTTTCCATGTCTCGCTCGAGCATTGCGAGTGTAGCATCTACAGATTCGTTATCAAACTCGGGCACAGCACAACTTCCAACATCACCGATATCGCCGCGCCCGAGCGTGGGTACTGTGGAGGAGGAATCGGAACATGATTTGGATCACAAGGGATATGAGTCGCAAGAGCCAGGTGGGATCGCTCTTTGAACTGGTTTTGGACCTCATCACACATAGACCTATGTACTTCATTGCATCGCAGTTACAGTTCGCGCAATGTTTGTAATTAACATGAAGCAAAGATGCAATCATGCATCATGAGCCTAACTCATCTATCACGGTGAAGATAGTAGACCTCCCGAGCTCTTTTCCGACTAGAGGCCTGTACCATTTTCTTTTATAGTTGGTGTTTCTACTTTGGTGGCTGTTTTACCCGCTTAACATCTTCACATTTGTATATTTCATTGTTACATAATCTTACCAACCGAACTTGAAGACGCATATCGGACATTCGGACGGAGTAAAAGCGATAGCACTACTTAACTGTGATGGCATCAGCTGCTGTACGAGCACAAGTTGCAGCCAAATGGCAAGAATCTTTCAACCGCCTTAATCGCAACGAGCCAGGAATATCTGGTTTAATGACTTTTAGCGAGGTATGTCATTACAAGTAATATGTATAAATATGCTTTAACTTCGTGTTCAGGCATGGACTCTGGCAATAGAGTTTCTTAAACCGCGAGATTTGAGCGACCCTACGCCACACAAGCAATATGGTTCGTAAATTTGAGCAATCCACTGTATGATTACTGAATCTCGATCAGACCTGAATAAAGTGAGAGCGGCATTTGGCGTTGTCGGCGAGTGCAGGAGGTTGCCTGTCATGATGGAGGTTTTCCTTGGTAAGACTGCTAATTTATGATGTCGCATCTTTTCTGACGGATGGAGAGGACATGCGGAAGAGTCAACACTTGATCACTCGAGAAGTTGAGGCATATATGACGCTTTATGAGGTCAAAGTTTCTGCACCCCTGCAATTTGTCGTGTCGCTCAATGCTTCATTGCAGAGTAACTCCGATCCAGAAGCAATACGCTCGCTTGTATATCGTTTGGTCGAGTGGTACAGCGCGTGGAAACCAACTGCAGAGTACGTACCATGCAACTTACCAAGGCTAATATGTATTTGATGTAACTTAGTCTGGGACCAACAATGATATCCGCCTATACTCTTGCGTTCCAAACTCACGTTTTTTCTGTCCTTCCTCCATCTTTTGCTCGGGGAATTAAGGCTGTTGTTTCAGCCACACTGCAACGTACTATATCCCAGTCGCCGGACCCTCAAGACCGCGTCCTGTGGCAAGCCTTTGATACTCTTAGCCTCATCGATCGCTATGAAACCCTTATCGCAAGTATAGGATACGAATTCATCGAATCGTATGTGGAAGAAACGTGCTCGGGAAAGTGGTCAGAACCTGTACTTGCGACCCTTCGGGCCTGGATGGTCGACAAGATTGTGCCATGGATGCTGTATCCGTTTGCAAGAGGAGCAACCAATGGTGATTTATAATTCGGTTATCCCAGCTTTTGACTCACAAATCACTTAGCGGATGAGGCTAAAATAATGATGCAAGGCGTAGGGTCAAGGTTTGATTTCCACATGCATAAGACGCTTTGCAACCTAAGGTGAGATTATTTCAGCCTTGAGTTGCTAAATTTTCATTTGCAGGACGAAGGAAATCTTTGACATTATCGTCGATTTCCCGGATTCTGCGGGCGCTCTCCAGGACCTAAAGGTTGGTATGAATGTTGTGGTCAATATATTCTTAATATTCTGTTTTATATGCAGGAGTGCTTGGCACGTGTCGACCAACGTGCGGACCTCGTACAGGCACTACGGCAAGCGTACGTCGTCGTCCATCATTGTCAACTGCAGTAATGACTGATTGTAATTTTCAGTAACAATAAACGACTCCTTCACCCGGGCGCAGATACGAAAGATATTCTGACGCATTATGTCTCGACGATCAAGTGTCTCAGAATCGTCGATCCTCCTGGAGTACTCTTATTTAAAGTGGCCGATCCCACAAGAAGGTATCTCCGGTGCGTACACGCAAAGTTGGATTCTGGAGCAGCCGATAACATCTGCATGTCTGGTCAGAGATCGGCCTGACACCATACGGTGCATAGTAGCAAGCTTGGTTGGAGACGGCGAGAGTGGGGACTCGCTTGTCGACGATAACGATCCCATTCAGCCCCTTCAACAACCCGAGATGGAGAACTACTCTGATCCTGAGTGGAATCCTGAACCCATTGATGCCGGGCCGGATTTTCGTGCGAGCAAGTCCAGCGACGTTATCAGTACCATAGTCAGTATATATGATACGAAGGACCTGTTCGTCAAGGAACTGCAAGTACTATTGGCACAGCGCCTGTTGGCGGCGAAGGATGGAAATTTCGACCGTGAGGTCAGTCCCAAGTTCCTGACTATGGTAAATATACTTAAGAAGGTCCATGCAGCGTCGTAATGTCGAGATTTTAAAGATTAGATTTGGCGAAGCTGCGTTGCAGGTCTGTGAAGTCATGCTGCGAGATATGACAGATTCGCGTCGCATAGACCAACATGTGCAATCGCAGAAAGCGGTAAGTTGTTATATGCATGACAATGTGCGGAGCCACTATTTGAAGCACAGAGTTCCATGCATCCTACGATCATATCTCGACATTTCTGGCCCGCACTTGAGTCCAGTGATATGGTCATGCCCGGGCAATTTCAGATGTATGTCCTTTTCCTGTAACTGCTGCTACTTCTGAACCAGTGTAGCCTGCAAGAGCAATATGCCAAAGAGTTCTCTGTGTTCAAACCTGATAAGGTCCTCCGTTGGTTACCACATCTTGGCCGGGTTCATCTACAACTCGAACTCGAAGATAGGACATTGGAGGCCGACGTACCTCCTCTGGAAGCGGCATTCATTGAACTCTTTTCCGAGAAGGGTAAGTGAACATTCAAAGCCGCATGACGCCACTAACTCTGCAATAGACGTATGGACGATAGACGAACTAGTCCTCCGATCCGGCTCCGTCAACCGAAATGCAGCTGTCAAAGCCCTTGCTACTTGGGTAGACATGCATGTTCTGAAAGAAGACTCAGAGGGTGTTTTCCGGCTTCTTAGTGTTGCCGAGGGTCCTACACCAAGAAGTAGACCACAAGCACCTAAGCCTGGTTCGTTCATCTTTCAACGTAGTATATCCTTGCTACTTATTGTAATCAACAGCAGAAACGGGGGAGTTACCACCGGTAATGAGCGTGCAGCAGCAGCAGGCCGAACAAATGAGAATGTACTGGAAGGTACGTTTTGTTGTCGTTTGCACTTCTCGCAGTGGATCTTACTGCAAAATGGTACAAAGTTCATCGAGGGCATGCTTACAAATCTGGGTTCGCTGCCGCTGGATCGAATACAATCGATGCTCAAGTTTGCACCTGGCTACGATCGCACTGCAGAACAACTTGGGAGTTTCATGGAAGCTGCTCGAAGAGAAGGGTTGGTCAATGTCAAGGATGGCATGTGGAGACTTGGGAAGTAATGATTTTCCTCATCGGAAATGTAGGTGATCCTCCACCATAACTGGCTACATAACGTTACCTCACGAAGCAATGCGTCGATTACGGACTACCCGGGAGTGCAGCACATGAACCAGCCGGTTGGATGTTCCTGTTGCTAGACAAGTTTATTGAGTTCAGTGACGGTACAGTGTGTTACCCAGAGTATATACATGTGCACGATCATGACGGAAGGAAGGCGAGAATGTAAGGGACAAAGATATACCCGATACATCCGTGCCTTCGATACTATTGCAGAAAGATCTAAAACATACGCAGATGTAGGAGTCGACATCACAAGGTTAAAAATTGCGTTGGTGCATAGTACGCACTGGATGTCCCAGGTCCTGGTTTCCCCTATGTAGTAGACGGTAGACCGAACAAAAGGAAGACAGTCGCTCCTAAGGCTACTAAGCCAGTCCTAGTAGCGTTGTCAAAGATGCCAACTTTGTGGCGCTGTCACACATGATGCATTGAGACTATGTACATACACCAAAAGCCTTGGGATTCGAGTTCAACGTTCAACGTTCAGCGACGAGTCCAAACTTTGATGGGCCTACATATTATACTTATAGCCTACATATTTCAATCAAGAGTAAACATATGCAAATACGTTGTGTCCAAATCAAGAAGACGTTCAACCCATACTAATATACAGTATAGTGACATACTAGGACAGATCGCCATCCGACATCAACTACGCCGCTGCTCATGTAGACCCGGGTCTGTAGATCCAGATAGGAATGGGTGGTCACATTTGCTTTCCCTGTAAGTTCAAATAAGTATTATTTTTTTCGCCGAATCAGATGCCGCTTGAAAATGACTACTTATTCGCGTACTTGATATCTCGTATGAACAGTCAGCCCAAGCGTCTATATACAATCATCCAAACCATGGTCGCGTCATATCATCGAGGTGATGTCGATTACCCTCCCCTCGATGGATCTCTGTCCCTCCCTCAATTGGTTGAATTCAATGCGCAACATAACTCAGACATCACTTTCTTTGTCTATGACAAACCTGACAGCAATGACCTGGTCTCTATTTCTCACTCAGACTTCTATCGAGCTTGTCATCGGGCCGCCCAGGAAATTAGGCCAGCCTCCGCAGGTGCAGACAAAGAAGTGGTCGTTCTCATCGCGAACTCCGACACTCTTCTTTATCAGACAGTATTCATGGGCATAATCTTCGCTGGGCTAGTTGTGTGTATATACATTTGCTGAATGATTGGGTTTCTGATTACTGTTATTTCAAGCCATTCCTCATGTCCCCTCGTAATTCGGCGGCGGCAGTCATGAGCATGATGCAGAAAACAAAATGCCGTCGTTTAATCACGACTCGGCTCTCGCTCGCTTCCCTAATCGACGGAGTCGAAGCCGGTCTTATGTCTGCCACCCAAACAAGCCAGCTGCAGATTGATGAGATTCCGGCGCTGAAACACCTGTACCCCTCACTCGTTAGTGGTACTCCCAACGAGGCTATTGTCCCGTACCCTTCCCTAGGTTCGCCGTCGTCTGATAACGATGTATTATTCTACCTGCACTCTTCTGGCAGCACTGGCTTCCCCAAACCTATTCCAATAAGTAACTTGACTGCCATCCACTGGTGCCTAACGCGTGAGTCGGTAAAATAATCTGCACAGCGAACAATGCTAAGATAGAGTACCGTTAGCATCTATCCTCGACCTCGTTAACCTGCCCACTCCTATCCGCATCGACGCTGCGCCTTTGCCATCATTTCATACCTTTGGTATATATTTTCAGCTGCTTGCCCCTATCGCCGCCCTGAGCAGTGTGTCTATTTACCCGCCTACATCCTTCCTCGTACCCAACTCGCACAACATCTTGGACTCTGTGCTCAAGACGAAACTGAACACTTTGATGGTTGTGCCTGCCTTTCTGGAACAATGGGCATTTTCACCGAGTGCTGTCGATGTTCTGGAGACCTCGAATATGTTGTAAGTTTGTCATTGATGCTGCGACAAGGAATCACTGGCGTTGATCCCAATGCAGATCTATGGTGGCGGTTCTCTCGCGCCTAAGATAGGAAATACCCTAATGAATGCAGGGGTCAAACTTTCTTGTAACTACGGAGCTACAGAATTTGGTACCAGCACTCATTTTATCCGAAATTCGGTCGAACAAAAGTTTTGGGACTGGGTGCGATTTGGACCAAATTCCAAGATCAGATGGGCTCCACAGGACGATGGTACATATGAATGTCAAGTTTTGGTGCGTCTATGAGTCAATCTTTGAACACGCGTCAAACACTTTCTTGCAGACAACCCCGACGCATCAAGTGTCAGTAGAGAATCTTCCGGACGTCAAGGGTTATGCTACTTCAGATGTATTTATCAAGCACCCGACCATAGAGGGTTTGTGGAAGATGTACGACGGAAATTTGTGTTATTCTTATTCATGTTCTCTGACATTTTCCTTGTAGCGTAGGAAGGATTGACGACGTTTTGATACTCTCGTCCGGGGAGAAGACAGTACCAGCTCCCATGGAGAGCATCATCTGCGCCAACCCCTACGTAACCGGCGCCGTCATCTTTGGTCGTGGACGCAATCAAGTTGGGATCCTTATAGAGCCACGGGCAGGGTGTGAAATTGACGTCGATGACGAAAAACAACTCGCTGAGTTTAGGAACCGAGTGTGGTAAGTCCCCTAAAAGATCGCATGCTACTGTTGCGTCTGAAGAAGTTCTTGAAGGCCGGACATAGAGGAAGCGAATAAGGAGGCTCCTGCCTTCAGCAGGATCTTCAAAGAGATGATTCTTGTGACACACAGTGAGAAGCCCATGCTTCGAGCTGGAAAAGGGACCGTCATCAAGAAAGCAACCACCAAGCTGTATGAGGAGGAAATCAATGCCCTGTGAGCATGGTACCCATTCGTCATTCTGTTAACTAGAATTCATGGGCGACAGATATGAAAAGGTGGAGGGCAGCACTAGAGCAGGTATCGATATACCTTTGCCTACAAGCTGGACTGCGGAAGATGTTGAGGGATGGCTCAAGGTTCACGCTGCTGCTGTGAATGCCGACAAGGAAGTTGATCCTGATGCGGACCTTTTTACTCAGGGCTTTGACAGGTGGGTCGAGACTGACAAAGGCTAGTGCTCTGCTTACTCCGTACATCTAGTCTCTCTGCGACATTTCTCAAAAACCGCATTATCGGCTCTCTCAGCTCATCTTCAGATCGCGACCTTCAGGCATCAGCATTACGGATTGACCAGAACATCATATTTTCAAGTCCTTCAATTCCCCGGCTTGCGAGGAGCGTCATTAATGCAGTATCGCAGCGGAATGATACAATTGCTGTCGACGCCAAGGCTGATATCGAGAACATGATCGAGAGGTATTCAGTCGGATTAGGGAACTCTGTCACAGAGGTCGACACCACTTTAGTTAATGGGTATAGCCAAAGTGACCATGTGGTTGCCCTGACCGGGTCTGTGGGTTGTTTTGCCTCATACCTGCTTGCAGATCTACTCCAGCGCGAGGACGTGTCTATGGTATATACCTTCAATCCCCCGTCAAAGGGGGCATCCATACAACAACGACAGGAAAATTCGTTCAAAGATCGCGGTTTAGATTCTACCGTGCTTCAATCCGACAAACTAATGTATGTAGAAACTGATACATCCGATGACCACCTAGGTCTGGATAAGGAGCTATATCAGAAGGTTTGCGTCACTTCCAGTGTCACTGAATTGACTAAAGATAGTGTAGATCTGCACGTCTGTCACTGTCATCATTCACAGCGCTTGGCGACTCGACTATAACCTGGCGCTCTCGTCATTTGACACTGATGTGCGGGGAATGCGGAATCTTATAGACTTGGCACTATCTTCTCCGCGTCATCCAAAGCCACGTTTTATGTTCGCATCTTCCATCTCATCTGCTCAAAGTTGGGACAAAGCGAAAGGACCATTCCCTGAAGAAGTGGAATACGACGCCGAGGTTGCAGTCGGTCTTGGCTATGGCGAGAGCAAATATGTTGCGGAAAGGGTAAGTCACAAGCTACTTTTGGACGCATGAGTTCTACCAATACTGTTTCCATCAAGGTTCTCGTCAACAGCAAGTTACCGGCATCATCATTCCGAATGGGACAAGTATCAGGAGGACCCCCGCGAGGAGCTTGGACCACGAAAGGCTGGCTACCGATCATCGTCAAATCGAGTGTTAGTCTAGGCGCACTTCCGGAAGCTAAAGAAGTAAGTCCATTACTATCGAGGGTATCTATTCGTGACATGTGCATTTTAGTTTGTGTCTTGGATCCCTCCACAAGCCGCATCAAATGCTTTTCTTGATGTAGCTTTCGCGGAAGAAGAACCTCCCATCGCGGTGAATCTAGTGCATCCGAGACCGACTGCATGGAAGACGTTGATGCAGCCCATTGCGGACGCCCTGGTTGAGCGTAAAGTAACAAGTTACCCGCTACCTCTTGTGCCATTCTCAGAGTGGCTCGAAAAGCTCGAATCAAGTGCCAAGGACTTGAGCCAAGAGAACATGGAACGCATCGTACGTGTATCTCGATAGCTGGCCAGAACGTTTCCAATATATTCTTCGATTACAGCCTGCTATCAAGCTTCTCAACTTCATGCGTTCCATGACTCAATCAGACATTGCGATCAGGGCGTCCGGAAAGATAGGCTCCGAAGCGGGTGGCATGACTTTATTCACCACTGTCGTAGCGGAACGCGTTAGTCCAACGATGAAGGAACTGAAGTCGCTGTCTTCGGCAGATGCTGCACAGTGGGTGGATTATTGGGAGGCAATGGGGATGTTTCAATGAACATTTGAGTAAGTCTTGATGTTATGACGCGAGGTATGAGGTGATTGTGCTAGAAAATGAATGCATGATGCCCGAAGATCACTCGCACGCTTCGTTCTTTTAGAACCTGCTGACCGTTGATACTTACTTGATCAGTACTCGTAGTAAAGATGAAGCTAGAAGCATACACGCACCAAGCCAAGCCGAAGACTTAGACAAAGGCGATTTGTCAAACAGTTGAAAGCCAAAGTTCTTTTGCAGTCGCTACTAAGAGAAAACAGTCAGATTTTCATCAAGGAGCCAGTACCGACGACTCTCCAACAAGTGCATGATACCGAGTTCTATCTGAACAGGATACACTGTCTCGCATAAAGCATCAATTTGAGGCGTAGAGCTTAATTAAGGCTGCACACTGACGCTACTAGTAAACTGCGTTCTAGTGAGATTCTGGGCGAAAAATATGAATATGTATGAAAGGGAACTGACGGCAAGTGGCACGTGAGGAACGCGTAACGCGTCGCCATAGTAGGCCAACATCAAACTTCTTGTTGACATGCGAAAATCGTGGGTCTTTTGCTGATGTAAAATAGCAGACTCATGGGTCGGTGCTTTGCGGAAGGAATGTTTTTACGGCAGAAGAGTTCTTACTAAAAATCTTTAGCACGCCTAAAGAAACCATATAAAAGCAGGTGGCTCGTATCTCGATCCTTAGCCATTGCCCAACCAACTCTCACTTTTCTTCTCTATCTGCTTGCTCATGATGACCCACAACGAGCTATGGTTAACTTATCACCAAGCATCACGCTGCAACAAGCCAGCGACCACTCAGTTGGTGGAACTTGAGTTTCAGAATGAGAAGTTAACTGACTTGGAAGATGTGCTCGAGCATTTATTCCGTCAGGGATTCGTCGAGGCCCAGCATCGGTCGCTGTCATATTGGGAGAACCACAGCGGGCAGCGTCTCAACCCAAGTGATGCCCTGGAAGAACTGCTGACAGAAGGTGCAGGCAAATGCCCCCAGTCTGCTCTTAGGCTGGTCATCGGTGAGTAATTAGTTTTTGACGCGAATATTGGTCCTTACCCCGGGAAGCCGATTGTCCACCTCATTTGTGGTTCAGTTATGTTTACACTCACAAGAATGTGACGCCCGCCGTGACGCAGCGCGTTAAATTTTGCCATGCCCAGGAGGCAAAGCTCGAAATAATAGCCCACCTCACCAACCACATTTTCCGTAATGATTATCTCCCCGCACGATATCGGACGGTTGTGACATGGCAAGGTACTTGTGGAAGGAAGATAGAAGAACACGAAAAGCTCGATGCTCTGCTTACCGCAGGAGAGGGTCTCTCTGAAACTTCGCCCCTGCGTCTCATTATAGGTAAAACTCGTAGTTGCCAGTTTTCCTAAGGTTTTCGCTAACGGTGTCATAGATGCCACCCGCACGCATGCCAAAACATGTCATGCAACTGGTCACTAGGAACGAGAGTTGGTGACCATTTTATGGAGGGAGTCGGGCTGGTATATATTGCTCCTTATCGTGCTCTGGAAAGCACTGTGACTTTGAGCTATGATTGGTAGTTGCGGGTGTTTTAACGTTGAATGCCAGATTGTGAACTACCCGTCCGAGTTGCACGAAGGACTGCCAGTGATCACGGGCAAATTGATAGTCCTGCACAATTAGAAGCGTTAAAACGTTGAGGATGTTGAGCGGAACGTCTTCGTTGGCAATCACTGCGTACCACTGATGTACAGTTCTTAGTCATCCATCCAGTTTCGAACGGGTTAGGGCCGGCGTGTACGTGCTTCTTGCCGTAAGCCATCTCTTTCACAGGCCCCTTGCAGGTAGTCCATCATCATCCCGGTTATCTTCCTTTCGTTACATTCACGACAGTGGAGTAATTTATCCGAGGTTGTGCCACGCTCAGCTATGGCGAAGAGGCATTACTCGGCTCTATCGCAGCCCACCCTCTCGATGAGCGAGCTGATATGCAAAACGCTCGATCATGATGCTACAGACATGTTAATCGACAAGTGGCTTGAGCACCGCAATGACGCGTATTGGGAATGGTTTCAAGGTGTCAGAGAGCGAAAGCATGCCGCAAACACTCTCAGACGCCAAGTCCTCGTCTGGAATAAAGGAGATTTTCTTCCAGAAAACATCTTCTGTCGTACAGTCGACACCGGTCGTCTGATTCCTCTGGATCGTACCTGGTCGACACATGTATATCATCACAGGTCAATGCAAGACCGAAAATTGTCCATGATGCCTGTTGTATTTACTATGGTAAGGACTTAGCTGCTAGATCTTGATTAATGTCACTGAGGATAATCTTAGCTGCCTGAGCTGATGATGCTCAGAGGGATGCACGACATTGGCTGTGACGATGTATACATCATTGTTACAGACATGAAACGCCAAGAGATGGACGATGTAACAGAATACTTCAACCTTGTTTGTCGACATGCATTCGGGCGCACGTGTAAACCTAGCGTGGAGAACGAGATCCAGTTCAATCGTTTGTGACCATCAATCCGTTACCAGTCTGCATGTTGACATTGATTTATGGGTCCTAGATATGCGTTTGAGCCATACTCTCCTCAAACAACGACGCACACCATGTTTTCCTCAAATTGATATCGCTTTCCGAGCCATTCTCCACGAGAAACGACCTCCCTTCATCATATTATTCTCCCATCAGACCACTTCCTATTCCCAAATTTTATTCACACACCCACTATTCGTTCCATCAGAAGAAATATTTTTTGACTTTCCTAGTGGTTGTCCCAACCCGTGCTGTAACGACGACTGCGAAATGATACGCTTTCCTCGTCGTGGCATTGAAGGTGCAGTAGTATTGTCGATAAAACGCGGTCGTCGAAATGGGAGGAAGGTGAGATCTCGGGAGATGTGCAACTGGATCGACTGCAGCATTTGTTTCAACGAAGAAACATCGCAGTACGCCGAGAGTAGTGAAGGATCGCAGAGCAGCGCCGACAGTGGGGATACTCCGAACAATAATGGACTTGTGTGTAGCAAGTGCCGGTTGGTGAAGTACTGTTCTCCTGAACATCAAAAAAAGGACTGGGAAGAGCATCGCCGGGTATGCGCTAAGTCAGCTGCTATCATCTGACTGTACCTCGTGGACAAGCTCTCGATTTTTTCTTCATCGGAAGACGTTAATATTCTTGCTGTTGTTGTACTGTGGTCTACTGCATTTTTATTGTACGCCGGTCATTATTTTTCATTGTCTGCATCTTGTTGTAATTGCCATCACTGATGTTGTTTATCGATTATTCAATATTATATTTGGGTCAAGTTGGACTTTCTGCGAATTTAAACTTCCCACCGTGACCATTGCCGGATCCAGAAATCAACCTATATGTCCATCCGTTACCTTACCGCGCAGCTGGCCCAACAGGTGCATAGAACGTTCAACATTATCGTTGCGTATTAACTACGAGCTCATCCGAGTAACGGACAGATTGATGAGGAGCTTATGAATGCTGTTGGGGCGTTCAGTTTGGATCAGGCACGGGGCTTCAGTCCTGTATCAGCATACGATACTCAAGCATGACCCGTGTTGCAGTTGATGGAGCTGGCTGGGTTAGCCTGCGCCCAAACGCTATCTACAGTGTACAGCAAGGAAAAGTATCCGAAAGTCTTGGTATGTTGTGGACCAGGAAACCAAGGAGGAGATGGATTGGTTGCGGCTAGACATCTTGGTATGCTCTCAGAGTGACCCACTCCTTGTTCCTGTGCTGATTTTTCTTAGGGATGTTTGGTTACAAGCCAACGATATACATGCCCAAGGTAAGTCACATCCACCTAGTGAAGTAACAGTCCCGAAATGTAACCCCTAACAGCCAGGCTCAAAAGACATCTATAGGGTTAGTCCACATCGTGAAGTGTTGTTCTCTATTTGATACAGCATCTTAACGGGACTGGTAGCGCCTGCAAAAACAATGCATTAATATGGACATCCCCATCGTTCCACCTGCAACATCTGCTGAGGAGCTACCTCGCCTCCTCCAGTCCTCGAACCTTATTCTGGACGCCATTTTTGGGTTTTCGTTCAAACCGCCAGTGCGAGCACCGTTTGACGATGCACTGAAGCTTATATCTGCATCCGGGCTCCCGATTGTCTCGGTCGATATTCCAAGTGGATGGGATGTCGAACTCGGAAATGCAGAAGGCGTCGGGCTGAATCCTGACGTCCTGATCAGTTTGACAGCACCAAAGGTAGGAGCGAAATACTTCAAGGGAAGGCATTTCCTCGGAGGGCGTTTCGTGCCAAAGTAAGTGTTGAAAAGTTAAATGCTGGAATGATGTCCATACTTGCTGTCAGGGCAATGCAGGAGAAGTTCCAGCTCAACCTTCCTGAGTATCCTGGATTCGATCAGATTGTGGAACTACCGAGGAACTATAGAATGTAGCTTTATCTATGGTATTATGACATGGGTAGGAGTGATATGACGGTTACACCGTCAAATAAAAACGACGCCGCTCCTCACTGCATTTGAATTTAATCTTCCTCTTGCCAGCTTCCTACGATATTTACATAATGGCTTCAACTCGTCGAGAGCTTCATGGGTATACAACAATGATAGCGGATACCACAGTATGAAGTTTGACGACTCAATGATTCCTATGAGTGTACATATGTCAGTACAGTACATAAGTTGAACCATGCTCTTGATTTTTGAAAGTATTTTTTGTATCTTTGTGTTACCTTTGTGTGTTAGCGTTTGGTTCCCGTTTGTCGCAGTCGGACTGGCGTTGGGAGACTAACCGTTCGCTATTACTTTGCAAGTCGTCGAAACTGTATGGTCCCCCTAGTGCGAGCTTTATACGTTTCGGAAACCTCGCGGTCTAGTGAAACTGCTACATACGTGACGGAACTAAATGGTAGTTGGGTGATTGGGTCGTGAGTTTTTGGTTATATCTAGTTGTGTGCTCATTGCGAAGGCGAGCCACGATCATTCTTTAGAATTCCTCAAGGAGGTATGCATGTTGCTTTCCGAAGGTCGTTTTATGGTAACAAGACATCTCGCCAGGTTATACATTGGGGCAGATCGTGGAAGCTTGCACTCGATTTCAATCGGAGACAGTACATAAAGATCCCATCCACGTAACCGCCCATTTTCTTCGCGCGACGAATGTTGGGCCTGCGGAAGTGCGCGTTAGTGTCCAGAAGATAGGCAAAAATTTTACAAATCTTTTAGCGGATCTCGTCCAGGGAGTGAGTGACACACCCGCTCTCCGCGATAGTCGTGTGGTTGATCGTGTGAGCAGGGGGACACCAGACTGACATCCCATCTTATTTTTGGTGATCTTACTCCTGTGCCGGGCGAAATTCCTCGCAGTTTAGCAGCACCATCTCCATATGCTCGACGCCTACCCCTGCACGATCATCCATCTGCAGCCATCCGAGATAGAATGAGGCATGTCTGGAGGTTCCACTCTCTTCTGAGTTGGTCCATGGACCACACTATTTTGGCGTGCAATGCTATGCGTAGCCAGACCCGAGTTGATACTGAAATCATAGGCGGAGGAGGCGTCGAATGGGGTGCATGGTGTGAGCTAACCAGACCAGAAGATGAAATAAAGCCTTCATCTATTCCATTTTTCGGGGACATGTTTCTCAATATCCCTTCCCTCCTACCTGACTCAGAGCCAGCTAGTCACGGAACATTAGATTGGTTCGTTCGGCCCTGTATTCTAGTCACGTAGCGTTGACTCCCTTTTCTAGTTGGTTCCCGACCGTGACCATGACAGTCGAATTCAAGGCCCGTATTCCCTCATCTCAGGATTATGCTTCTCGAACGGTCGGCTTATATAGCGAATCACGTTTTTTGACTGATCCCCACGGAAGACATAATGCTCGCGTTGAAGTCTGGACTGCCCCTTCTGCAATTGGCCAGGGTAAATTAGAAGCTGGTTGGAGGGACAAGCAGTACTGCATTGCAGTTGTTGACCAAATGGCCCTCACTCTGCCTATGGACCTCAATCACCGTCAAGGCAGCAGGGACAAAGTGACCACTAAGCTGTAGACTACTAACCGGTGGTACCGTCCAGTGGTTTCGAGAGTCGAAACATATTTGAGCTGGACTTAGAGTTTCCACGTATTTCCGTATGGTCGGAATGCAGCTATCGCCGGTCGTAGGCATATGTATGGACACTGTGGGATGTTGCAACGTTACTCGGATCTCGATATCTGGTTCAGTCGTATATCCAAAACTCCATATTTGTCTTTGCGGAGAGCCTGGAGCATAATTCTTCCCACCGACCGTGAAAACCGTTCTCAGGATTAACCGAACGAGGGATTGGCGCAGTAGCCAAAATTGGCACGTGTTGTTAACGTTCTTTGTCCTGCTCAGACCAGACACATGGAAGCTTCGCTATCTCTGTCTTGCTCAGACCTAGAAGCCTCGCTATCAGAAACGGTCATACAAAGCCCCGACTCGCCGACCCTGCCTTGCCATACAAGCTTTACCATTATCATTATCCTGCCAGGGGCATTGATGCCACGGTGTGTTTGCAAGCAAACATGACTACTAGTGGTGACTGTTTCATGACAGGCAGGTGTCATGGTACGGGGAGCGATTGTTGCTCCGATAAAATATCGACAGGGTCGCACTCCTCGGATCTCACACCTCTCTCTGGTCTTTGGTCGGATCTAGAATGCCCCGCGTTCGTGCCTGCACTCATTCTGATGACGATCGTTGGCGCGTTATCGTCATTGTGGTTCTTCGGGGCACGATGGATGCTGTGATGACATGTCAATTGACAAGGTTATTTTGGGGAGGAGCTCCCCTTGACAGGGTCGTTCTTTCCCCTGCTAGTGCTTCACAGCATCCGTATACTTATCCTCCGGCTACTAGTAACGCCTAGAAGCCTTGGCCCACCTCCAATCCGACTTATATAAACAGTGTCACTCAACGCAGTTGTCTTCACTTTGTCTTCCCAACTTTTATCTCAAACCACTCAAATCATGTCACACGTCGTTATTCGTGGAATCCCCTTTGCGACTCGTTTGCGCGCAGCCAAAGGTGGTGCCAAAGAGCTTCTTGAACGCGACCGCGCCCGCGCACAGAAGTTCCTGGCTAGCAAGTCCCATCATGCCTTCGTTGCTGCCAAAGCCAAACATGCCAGCGGTACTGGCGCGGAGTCTAGCATTGATGTCACCGATTCAGGTGTCACTTACACTATGCAAGTCGGTGTTGGAAGCCCAGCGACCGATTATACATTGTTGATCGATACTGGTCAGTGGAATATTAGTGACGTGAATAAACTGGCACTTATTTATATGTCAACGATATTCCAGGGAGTTCGAATACGTGGATTGGTGCAGACCTGCCATACAAACCCACAAGCACTAGTCACAACACTGGAAACACTATAGTGAGCTAGCTGCTTCTAGTGCTATGATACTGTTAACAGACTGGTCTGCAACTTAGAATGTCAGCTATGGTTCGGGAAGCATGTCCGGAAAGGAATGTAAGGACTGCTTCTTTCAGCTACAATCGCACCAACTAAATGTGGATCAGACACCGACACCGTGACCTTAGGGCCAGACTTGGTTATCAAGAACCAAGGCATCGGCGTGGCTTCATCCGCGCAAGGGTTCGAGGGCGTCGATGGTATATTGGGGTAACATTTGGTCTGAAAAGCAGTATTTTGTAGCGCTGATATCTTTGCAGTGTCGGTCCCGTAGACCTTACACGGGGAACCGTGTCTAACACGACGGATGTGCCTACAGTTACCGACAACTTATACGCTCAAGGAACAATCTCTTCCAATTCACTCGGCATCTCCTACGAGCCGTCCTCCACAGCTAATGTATCCAATGGAGAGCTTACATTCGGTGGGACCGATAGCACCAAGTTAGAAGACACCTTCCTTTTTGTTCTGACTTTGTCTGACATCATGTATCAGGTACACTGGCACACTCAATACTGTTCCACTTACCACCACCTCCCCAGCCTCGGCGGTAAATCACAGCCTGACCGAAAATGTACTGCTTACTAATTTTGACGATCATCCATCGTAGTATTGGGGTATCAATCAGTCGGTATCGTACGGCACTAGCCAAACAATCTTGAATACGACTGCCGGCATTGTGGACACTGGTACTACCCTTCTTCTCCTTGCCACTGGTATGCACATATTTCACTGTGATATCTGTCACTCACCGAAATGTGCAGAGGCTTTCCAGGCCTATCAGAAGGCAACTGGTGCCGTCGAAGACTCGTGAGTTCAGTTCGATGAGTCCATAATGCCTGGCATCTTATGTGGATCAGGACGACAGGACTCCTAACGATCACGTCGGCACAATACGCTGAACTTCAAAGCTTGTACTTCAATATCGGCGGTGTAAGTTTTTCTCTAGTATGATGAACCTCTGATTGATTATTGGAATAGGTCACCTACGAGTTTACGCCTAATGCTCAGATCTGGCCACGTGGTCTGAACAGCATCCTCGGAGGAAATGAGGGACAGATCTATCTGATCGCGTCTGACCTTGGTTCTAACGTGGGGAGCGGGTTGGATTTCATAAGTACGTCCCATGATATCTTACTGGGGTCTGGGTCTGACAACTGTCATGTGCATTCCAGACGGATTTGGCTGGATTCAACGCTATTACACTGTCTTTGATACCGGGAACAAGCAGCTCGGTCTTGCGACAACGGCATACACTGATGCTGATACCAACTGATGATGGTTCCCGCAAAGCCCTCACATTATTTTCAAGTTTACTTTGAAATAGTTTCAGGCGTGTACTAGTATTTACTAGTAAACGTTCTAGAGAAAATCATCTTTGTCATTAGCATTACCACAGTCAGATGTAACATGAAGTCTCAGACTGAAAGATACGACCATTAGGGTACGGTTGAAAAGTTGATACTTTTCAACAGCTGCCTGTTAATAACGAGTGTTAATAACACTGTTGAAAATGTCGGACATTTCGATGTGAGGATTTCCTATACAAAGTAACCAGATAGGTTCAAATTTATAGCTGACTCCACCAGTTTGGGTGTAAATCAGGTGAGATGAGGTGATGCATATGTAGAATGGGACCTGTGTTGGTGTGGCGGCGGAGGTCGTTTCTTCCAAAGTTCCGTGTACCTTAAGCCGGCACAAGGTCACGTGATACGTCATGGGGCGGGTGTAGCACAGCTGTTGAGTACCACCGCCATGACCAGCACCTGCTAAAATTCAAACTCCTCGCTTCGCCTGCCAAATCACTTCGAGATCGACCAGCCTGGGTTTCCCGATCGACTTGTCCGTGACGTATAAGCCAGGTGGTCACGAGCCTAGGTTACTCTGAGTCTCTGACACATTCAGCATTAGCGCATTTCCCAGTGATTTTTAGAGGAACTTCTACTATCCACAGTGATTGGCACCTATTGTTGACCCTCTCTGTCTTGCTCAGACTGGACATATGGAAGCTTCGCTATCTCTCTACCTCTGTCTTGCTCAGATCAGATGGAAGCTTCGCTGTCAGAGACACGGCGATACAAAGCTCCGGCTCATCGACCCTGCTTTTCCATGCAAGCTTTACCATTATCCGGCCAGGGTCACTGATGTTTGTTTTCGAGCAAACATGACCAGTGATTTTTTCATGACAGACAGGTGACATGGTACATAGCTTCGGACTCCTTGGATCTCACACTTTTGCATAGCACCTCTGGTCTTTGCTCGATCTGGAGTGCCCCTTGTTCGTACCTGCACCCATTCTGATCACAATTGTTCTCGCGTTGACTTGTTGTCATTATAGTTCCCTGCCAAGCTACGATAATAACTATGTTGGTATTTCAGTCGACAAGGTTATTTTTGGGAGGCTCTCCTCTTCAGAGGGTCCTGCTTTCCCCTGGCAATGCCTTACAGTGTCAATATATCCTCCGGCTATTAGTGATGCCTAGAAGCCATAGCACCCATCTCCAACCCGACTTATATAAAGAGTGTCACTCAACGCAGTTGTCTTCACTTTGTCTTCCCAACTTTGTTACCTCAAATCATGTCACACATCGTTATTCGTGGAATCCCCTTTGCGACTCGTCTGCGCGCAGCCCAAGGTGGTGCCAAGGAGCTTCTTAAGCGCGACCGCGTCCGCGCACAGAAGTTCCTGGCTGGCAAGCCCCACCATGCCTTCTTGGCTGCCAAAGCCAAACGCCACAGCAGTACTGGGGCAGAGTCTAGCATTGATGTCACCGATTCAGGTGTCACTTACACTATACAAGTTGGTGTTGGAAGTCCAGCGACCGATTATACATTGTTGATCGATACTGGTTAGTGGAATATTAGTGACGTGAATAAACTGGCACTTATTTATATGTCAACGATATTCCAGGGAGTTCGAATACGTGGATTGGTGCAGATCTGCCATACGAACCCACAAGCACCAGTTACGACACTGGTAACACCATAGTGAGTGAGCTAGCTGCCCCTAGTGTTATGATGCTGTTAACAGACTGGTCTGGAATCTAGAATGTCAGCTATGGTTCGGGAAGTATGTCCGGAGAGGAATGTAAGGACTGCTTCTTTCGGCTACAATCGCACCAGCTAAATGTGGATCAGACACCGACACCGTGACCTTAGGGCCAGACTTGGTTATCCAGAACCAAGGCATCGGCGTGGCTTCATACGCGCAAGGGTTCGAGGGTGTCGATGGTATATTGGGGTAACATCTAGTTTGAAGAGTAATGTCTCGTAGTGCTGATAAGTCTTTGCAGTGTTGGTCCCGTAGACCTTACACAGGGAACCGTGTCTAACACGACGGATGTGCCTACAGTTACCGACAACTTATACGCTCAGGGAACAATCTCTTCCGATTCACTCGGCATCTCCTACGAGCCGTCTTCCACGGCTAACGTATCCAATGGAGAGCTTACATTCGGTGGGACCGATAGCACCAAGTTAGAAGGCATTTTTCTTTTAATTCTGACTTTATCTAACATCATATGTCAGGTACACTGGCACACTCAATACTGTTCCGCTTACCACCACCTCCCCAGCCTCGGCGGTAAATCACAGCCTGACTGAAATGTACTGCTTACTAATTTTGACGATCATCCATTATAGTATTGGGGTATCGATCAGTCTGTATCGTACGGTACTGATCAAACAATCTTGAATACGACTGCCGGCATTGTGGACACTGGCACTACACTTCTTCTCCTTGCCACTGGTATGCACATATCCCACTGTGATATTTGTCACTCACCGAAATGTGCAGAGGCTTTCCAGGCCTATCAGCAGGCAACTGGTGCCGTCGAAGACTCGTGAGTTCAGTTCGATGAGTCCATAATGCCTGGCATCTTATGTAGATCAGGACGACAGGTCTCCTAACGATCACGTCGGAACAATACGCTGAACTTCAAAGCTTGTATTTCAATATCGGCGGTGTAAGGTTTTCTCTCATATGATGAGCCTCTGATTGATTATTGGAATAGGTCACCTACGAGTTTACGCCTAATGCTCAGATCTGGCCACGTGGTCTGAACAGCATCCTCGGAGGAGAGGAGGGACAGATCTATCTGATCGTGTCTGACCTGGGTTCCTCAGTGGGGAGCGGACTGGACTTCATAAGTACGTCCCATGATATCTTACTGGGGTCTCGGTCTTACAAATGTCATGTGCATTCCAGATGGATTTGGCTGGATTCAACGCTTTTACACTTTCTTTGATACCGGGAACGAGCAGCTCGGTCTTGCGACAACGGCATACACTGATGCTGATACCAACTGATGACAGACCCCGCACCGTTTTCTGTCGCGGAATTCTTTTATTTTGACGATCACAGAGGGCTTTAAGCTACCTATCCAATGTATGTGATTTTGCTCGTAAACAGTTTCAGGCGTGTACTGTGGCTAGTAAATGTACCAGAGAAAATCACACTTTTGTCATTAGCATTACCCGTGGGATGTAACGCCAAGTCTGAGAGATTGAATATCATAGCTGGCTACATACAGCAGCATGATCGAATACTGGCGGGGCCACTGCAGTGATTGCGGACTGCCGAGGCGCCCTTCGCCCGTAACTCGGAGCGTTTGACTACGACATCTTGGTGCTGAGATTCAGGCCTCAAGACTATATTACCGCAGGTGATTCAAGCAATTTCCTATATATGCGATTGGCAATGCAATTTAAAGTTGCTGTCGACCTCGAATGACAGCGGACACATGTTCCTAAACCCTTGACAGCTAGCAGCCATAGTCAAATGTCTCTGGACCCTTGCGATCAGTCATAGACAGTAAATGGTGGCCACGGTAGCATTACGAAAGTCACCCCGAAGTGGTCGGTTTGGGACAAAGTAGGGACACGGCAGGCCCATCGGCACGGCACCTCCAAGCGGAGCATGAAAGTTACCCTCAGGTGCCGTGTTACATGGTTGGATGAATCTTCAATCCACGTACCACCCTGAATTCGACTGCAGACAATTTCTAGATTGATCATGACATCTTAACATTTCTTAGGGCCGATGACAGGTACGGCACATTTCAAACAGCATCGATGTCCTCAAGCATACGCTTATGCACTGAGCACTGACCCAGGCTGCTGCCGTGCCACGACAATGAATCAGACTCTGTATTTTGCAGATGATGACAGCGATGACAAGGTAACTGTATAAATTCTACAAGTCTTGTGTGCTGCACATCGTTTTAACCAGGTGCAGCCGTGATGCAGACTTTTAATACACAGGTAGACGAAAGGGCATGGAAAGATGTTGTCCATATCAAATACCAGCGCATTTTTTTTGCTAATACCTATTACCGAAGTCACTCAAAGCCAGTCAGCCACATCTTTATTTCCTTGGTCACGCCCTTCAGGCCAACGTGCGTCGGGCAACTGTACTATGAGTTTACCACAGAGCGGAACAAGTTTGAATGTTTCTCGATAGTATCCTCGGTCGCGCAGAAAATCTAAATGTAACACACTCCTCAGTGCTCACTGTTCTGAATGGCGGGGATAGTATAGAGCTGGTACACAATGACGATGTTGCCCATGCGTACATCCTCAACCCTTCAGGACACGACACTGTATTCAGTATCCCGGGTTTTTTCATGCAGGAGCTTAGAATTAGGAGAAAAATGCATGCATTCTACTCTTATCGAGGACCGAGATACTTAACTGCTGCTATGGTACGATAGAATTGGTATACATGGTAACTTGACATCCGCGAGTTGTAGCGTACAGTAAGAGATTTACACATTAGAATTTGAGGTTCAACCAACGTGCACTTTGCTCATGAGATCGGCGAGTGTGTCTGCAACCATCTCGAAGGTTGATTTCTTGTCCGTTGCCGGTGGTACGGGAATTTCCTCCGCTTCCTCAGCCTCTGGTAACTCTTCAACCTTCCCTTCGTCGTCTCCCTCCTCCTCTTCGTCCTCTTCCGTACGGATGAGCTTGCCACCGTGAGCTTTCAAGTGTTCGGCGATGTCATCCAGATGTTCGTTATCCTCAACGTCATCATTGTCCTGCAGGTCTAACCGTTTCAGCTTGGTCAACTTCGTCACGGCTTGCGCAAGGACCTCGTAGCTTTGGGCATCGAGGTTGTTGTTCTGCAATCGTAGCTCCTGAAGATTCTGAAGACTCTTTGTATTCGGATCGTTGAAAGCCTCTAGGAGTGGTGGTACTTCGCCTTCTCCGTTCGAGAGCATGCAGTCAGAAAGGTCGAGGAAGCGTAGCTTTGGCCAGCTGGTTTTGAGGGCCTCACCCCATGCATGAACAGCTTTCCGACCTTCTTCATCCATCTCCACATCTATGAATGCATTGTCCTGGAAATTGACAATCTGCAATTCAGAGCATGCGACAAGACCTCGCCCAAGGGCCTCAACACCATCCATACGAATGCCATTCTGGGGCATTTGCACCTCTGTGAGTGTCTTGTGTGCCTCGAATGCCTTGGCCCAGGCGGTAGCTCCTGGGTCCTCTAGCCGATTTCGGCCGCAGATGACAACCTCAAGGTTTGATCGTGAGCCATCTGTTGGTGCAGACTTGCGCACAGCTTCTGCAATCTTCTTGCCACCAGCGGGCCCGAGGCCATTGTTATTGAGACGGAGGACGCGTATAGAGTGATTACTTTCGAGAAAGGGTGTAAGGAAGGGCACAACACGCTCTCCAAACGCGTTATCATTGAGGTTTATCTCTCGAAGGGAGGTCTTGTGTGAGAGTGGATCGAGGAGTGCTTGTATAGCAGCAGGGATCTCCTCGATAGTACGTCCCGTAAAGATATCTGCCAAGTCTGCAAGCTGAACACGAGTCAGTGGGGAACGATCTTTAGTTAAGGAACTATAGTACGCACTTGAAGCACGTCCGCAGTCTCGAGGAATCGACCAAATGCCTTGGCAGCCTCCACGCCGATGGAATTGCCTCCAAGGTGGATAGCTGTGAGTTTGGTAGGGTCGACGCCGGTAGTGAAGGGGGCAACATCAGCAGCTGTTTCGAGCTTTAATTGTTTGCCACGAATGTCAAGAATCGCCTTGGATGCCGCCATGGTTAGCGATGAACAATCGATCGTGGTGAATGTTGTTCAGTAAAACACAACGTGAATCGATAATCCAAAAATGGAAGCGCAACTTTATAGAAGTCACGTGCCAGGTGCAGTATTTTCCAAGATTTGAATCCTCCTGATCGACCACAACGGCGACGTTGGCGAGCACGGTGAGATTGACATCATCGACGACGACGAGAAGCAGCAGGACAGACTAAATACTACATGCGCCAGCCAAAAGCTTCTTTCTAAATCATATAGCTATGATGACCTCGACAAACGCATTCGACCCGCTCACCATCAATCTTGAAAAACAAAAACGCGCACTCTGTGCACTTCTGCCTCCCAATTCCTTCCATATCCAACATATAACTGAAGCGAATACACCAAAACACGCTCTATCCACATTATCTCGACTGCTAGCTGTTCCAGCTCTCACTCTGACAATCGCCGATCTGTTCAGACCTCTTTTGATTGATTTATGCGCCAGATGGCTTCACGACGATGACGATATCGAAGATAGGTTCATCGCGTTTTGTCTCCTCATTGAGCTTCATGAGGAGCTATATCCGTGCGCTTTTTTATCGCACTTGTGTTATTCATCTCACATCTGGTTGTAGATGTCTATACGCTTTCTTGCAAAAACAATGTCTATCCAAGGGACCACTTGCTTTCATAGCTGGGGCTCCTTCTGTTGCTGAAATTGAAACCATTCGTCTGCACCGCATGTTGCTTGCATATTATCGCCTTCTCCGCGCTAATCGTCTCCTTCCCAAGCATCTGCTATGGGACGGGTCGCTATTATCCAAACTACTCTTCCCGCCTCACCCTGATACAGGCGTACGATTACTTGCTGCTCGATGCTATGCATCGCATGTTAGTATGGCAGAAAGCGAGCGCGAGAAGCTTATCACCCATGTCCTCGGCGAGTTTTGCAGCGTTGATTGTCCAATTAACTATGCTCAGACTATCGACGGGACTGTCGTTGATACTGACGGCTGGCTCGTGCCTACATTGGAGATAAAGCGTATTCACGATGCACGCGACGCTATTCTCGAAAGTTCCGATTTTTACTCTCTTGACTTAGAGGATGTATTGCAGCATCTCTCGGAGGCAGACCTGAGGTCTGTTACCTTCTATACTGTTGCAAATATGAACCTAATGCTTCTGCTAGTCCCTGGATTGCTAATATCCATGGTTTATTGATGCTCAAGTCATCTCCAACCATGCCTTCTCCTGCAGAGATTATTGCAACGCCTTCCGCTATAAATGCTCTCCGTGAAATTGCGACACACCTTTCTCTCCGCTTGCCTGTCCTCCTATCTTCTCCACCATCCTCAGGCAAATCGCTGTTCATATCCCATCTCGCTTCCAGCTTACATCCGACGATACCAGTCAACGAGCTCATTGTGACCGTTCACCTAGCAGATACGTCCCTCGATCCTCGGGCCCTTCTCGGCTCCTACATTTCCTCACCAACACAACTCGGAACTTTTGAATGGAAGGATGGTGTACTTGTGCGCGCACTGCGTGAGGGGCGCTGGCTGGTGCTTTCTGACATAGATCGTGCTAGCATGGAAGTTTTGGCCCTGCTGAAGCCACTTGTCGAGAGTATGGGCCTTGGGAATTGGATTGGACATCGCGCAGGTATAGAGGTCCCCGGAAAGGGTCGCGTTGAGGCGCGTGAAGGTTTTGCACTTTTTGCAACTCGATCGCTTGCTGTTGGGCACGGAAAGAAGGTGCCTGCCCCAACATTTTTTGGTTCCCATAAATGGCATGAAGTGATAGTGGACGCACCAGATGCAGAAGAGGTCAGATCTATCATGGAAAGCAAGTTCCCGAAGATTGTAGGGGCTGCTGGGGCTCTTATCAAGCTCTGGGACGATGTACAGGCACTCGGCTCAACGTCATCTTCGCGTCCTGTCGGGCTACGTGAACTTCAGAAGTTTTGCCAGCGAGTTGAGCGCCTCCTGCCGTCCAGCCACACGGTGGATGTGGACATGGATAATGACACCCAGTTATCACTCTTCAACATCTTTCCCAATCCCAGTCTTCGTGAAGAAATATTCCTCGAGGCCCGTGATGTCTTTTTCGGTGCGGGTGCTCTCACTGCGTCTGCGCGTGCACACTCTGCGCGGGTTTCCTCTGTTATTGGGGCACACTTGGATCTGGATGCAGAGCGGCAGGCTTGGTTGCTTTTCAGACACACATCGGATTTCGAAGTTGAGAAAGATGTCAATGGAGATGTGCTCGC